GTTTATAAACTATGACATTTATAAATGTATGAATCATATGGTGAAAAACTGACTTTGAAAAATAAATCTGTTCTTTTTTTCTTATAAAAGGTTAAATAAAACAAAAATATTGGTGGCAATTTTTGACTGTGTAACTTTACAAACGGCACCTCATACTAAATGTCGAGCTCAGAGCTTGTGTTGTGAATGACTCAGCTTCACAACTTTATCTCAAGATCTATAAAACGGTGGACATCCTGAATTGAGATGGCTCTAGGAGGTTTTCATGATGTTGTACGTCCAACAGTTACTTTCTGACAACTTATTAAAAGCTGTTCAGAAGTTCATGAGATATTTTACAGACGCTACAGAACATAAACACAATAACTGCTTTAAGACACAACACTTTCACCACTGGAGATATACAGTTTGATTTTTAAAAAAAAATTAAAAAAAAGAAGTGTTACCTGTGTCAGTGTTCCAGACGTACGCCATGCCATCCTCACTACCAGAAAAGATGAATGTCCCACATGGAGTGAAGGTGCTGTAGATCCTCTCCCTGTAGTTTGTAACTCCAGTGTATTTTTTCACAGCCAGCCTGAGGAGCAGAGCACTCACTATTTACACTGATATTTCTCCTGGGCTTTTAACAAATGGATTTATTTATTCATTCAGTTTGTCATTTTAGTAAAATCTGATTAACCACAAGATGGATTTTGCTAAAATGCTTTAAAAATATTTACATCTAAAACTGAAACACAAAAATGACTATAACTTCGCCAGTTTTAAATATACTGAAGCTAAAGGTCGAGGGTGTTCCTTCAAATTTGGTGTTGGGCAGTTTAAAGCTGACGCTCCAGCACATGTTAGGAAAAGTACAACACGCTGTTTAAGAAGCACTGCGTCAATGTTTGATTCGTTTGGTAAAAGTTACGTGAGCGGTGATGATGAAGGTGTCGAAGTGACGTCGCTGCGTTGGTGCGTGATCCAAAGGTTTATAAAGAAGTGAAAATCATTGTCTGGGTTTGTGGTGTTTTGGTGACTAATTTGAGCAAAATATAACAAACCAGCAAGCAACTTATAGCAAGACGTAAAACCAGACAGCTTTATGTGTTTAGTTGATCCATTTTTAAGCACTTGGAGCTCAAAAAAAAATAGAAAAGACCATTATGTTCATAACATACAACATGATCTTACAGGAAACTGGTGGAATACATAAAGTCTTGGAGGCAGAGAACTGGCAGCAGAAGCATTATTCCAAAATGTGATGTGAATTAGTTATAATTCTTTTATAATCTGTGTTTATAAATGTCAAGAAGTCACAGGGGCATCATGCACACTTTTAATGCTTATTTTTAATAATTCACCATAAACAACTATAACCTAATTTAACCAGTGTGTGAATGTGAGTGTGAATGAATGATGCATGAAAATTGTAAAGCGTCATTGAGGGTCTCGAAAAGCGCTATATAAAACTAATGCATTATTATTATTATTATTATTAATTTTTTCCGCCCACACGTTCAACGCAGCCCCATGACAGCCTGACAGACAGAAGTGTTTCAGTTGTCAACGCGATCACGATAAAGCGATTCATCTTGAGTTGTTTCAAAGGGCTCCAATTACTTTTGGCCACGAGATGGCGCCAAAGAGGACTGTGTTGAAAAGCTTCAGCACTTCAGAAAAGTTTCATTTGCCCATCACTATTAAAAATAACAGGTCTTTTATTTAATTTATCTGTTTAAACTCACATCCTTAAGTCCATCGTCCTCAGAAGGCTGTCTTTGGCATGTATGAGCAGACACCGTCCATTGGGATGCAGCTGCAGCAGGTTGATGGCCACGCCCCTCAGGTCACTCTCATCCACCTTCTGCAAGGAGACAAATACAGCTGCAACTACTACACAAATATATAAACATGAAATATAAAACAGATCACAGACATGCCACAAAATGATCACTGTTTCAACATTTCAACATTCAGGCATTAAGAAATAATACAAAAAAGACACATGGGTTGGAGACGCACTGATATTCAATTCACCACCTCCAACACCTGCATCAGATTAAACCTGCTGATTAGTCTGCAGCTAACACCTTGGAGAGCTGTTGGTCAAAACAGATTAACCTGAATCATAACTTCCAACACAACTGATTAAACAAACCTCTTCAAGACATGTCTTCATTTTAAGACAAAATGACCTGAAAACAGAAAATAAGCAAGACAAAATGGAAACATTTGGAAGGAAACTGGAGTCGGTGTCTGTAACTAAACTGTAAGAAATCACCTAAAAGAAATTGGATTAAACCACAGAAAAGTCAGATTAAAGCCATCATCAACAACTAAACAGGAAAAAGAAAGTGACAGTAGTCTGTCATGGAGAGAATGGAAAGTGTTCCGTCAGGAAAAAATATGAAGGAGACACTGTTAGCTTCAAAACATGTCAAAGTTTACATTGTAATTCTGGACATTTTTCTTATTGCATCAGTTGAAAAGATGTCTTCCCACAGAGCAAAGGATGTCAAAAATGTCCTTCAACAAAAATATGTCAAAGACATGGCCTGAAACTAATCTTGATCTCAATCTAGATTAAAATCTCCAGCAAATGATAAAGAGTCTAAGCGACACAACTGACAGCAGCAATAATAAACATGTGGAGACAGACTGATGAAGAGTTCTCTTTGTATTTTCTCAGGACTATATCTCACAACTCACCTTGTTAGAAAAGAGAGGTGGTCCAACAAATCACTAAAATATTGGTTTTGTCATGATTTCGTTTTTTCCTCTACTTGACAAAAAAGTAACTGAGACTGAACATAATAATAATGTTTTTTTTTCTTGTCTCTTAATGCCAAAAGGTTGAAATTTTGAACATGATAGTTTTGCAGCATGTCTGATTTATTTCTTATACAAAGTATAAAATTGAAAGAACATCTAAGAGTGGTGAGTCCATAGTTTTTGTCAGAGTTTGGAAAATCATCTGTGGTACCTTCTCTATAGACCAGTGATGACACGGTTTCTGTACTTGCGTGCTCTCATTTACTGATGTTTTCCACACAATGATGGTGCCTGTGTTGTCTGCAGAGAACATTCTAGATCCTGATGACAGAAACACAGTAAGTGCAGCAATAAGGAACAGATAAATTCTTACAACTTATATAAGAAACATTGGGCCTCGTGCAAGAACATGTTCGTATTCTTATCTTAAATTTCTCTTACTTTTGTTCGCACAAAGGGTTCGTTCGAACATGTCACGTCAGATTCAACAAACTCTTCTATCTTCAGGAAATGTGTGTAAATGAGCAGGGTAAACTGATGAATGCGTATCCAGGTGCTCGTGCACGAGGAGAGGAGATTAGCCTAATTACCACCCTAAAAACACCATATAAGGCTTCCTGCCCTACATACAAGGAAGTGTCCATTCATAAATAACATCGCAAAGTAAAAAGAAGAATTTTATGAGTTCGGGGGTTGAAGGCCTACTCTCAGAGGTCCAGAAAAGAAAATCTGTCATTTTTAGCAGCGTCAGCTGTGGAATTAAAGGAGCTGCTGAAGCCGAGGGATGAAATGTTAATGTTGTGTCTCCCGTAGGTAGTATAGTCACAGAAATAAAAATCATATTTAACTCTCTCTAGTCCAGCTCCGGTTTTTCTTTGGTCAAACATGTTTAATTTAAGTGTAAACACCTGTGTTACTGTGTTTACATTTATTCAGAAAAAGATCAGTTGCGTTCCCTCCTTGACCATCAACTCCACCGTCACAAGTGTCAGATCATATTAATATTGTAGTGTTATACAGTACAACAGCATTAATAGCCTATTTTATTTAATTTAACCAATTTATGTTGTGGGCCTACATTATTACATTTAAAATTATAATTCTAATTCGAACAGAATAACATATTGTCAACATAATTAGTGATTTATTTTCAACTCAAAATATCTTCAAACTAATGAAATCTAAAGTTATTACTGCAGAAAATCCATCTGGATAACAGCAGTCTGACTAAAATATAAAATATAAAAATAAAATATACGACAGGTCTGGACCACTTGTGAATTTTGTTCGTATCTGAAAAAAATCTTACAATAAGAGAAAATTGGTGAATCCCACAAGCTCTTCTAAATCACTCATACACACAACTTAAGAACAAATCCGTTCGTATTGATTCAAATTGGTTCTTGCATGAGGCCCATTGTGAAGAGCCTAAGAGCCAAAATACCTTCAAAGTCAAAACAGAGTGTGTTGATGAAGCTGCTGTGACCCTCAAACTCCTGCAGCAGCTGACCACTCACATCATCCACATCGAGCCTCCAAACTCGGATTAGACAGTCGTAACTCCCACTCACCACCAGGTTCGGGGCACTTGGATGGTACTGAGCACAGTATACAAAGGAGGGGTGAGGGAGCACCTTCTGGGCTGTTTCCACAAGCCTCTTCATATTCCACTCTCTGAGGAAACACAGTGAGAAGGAATGCTGGGGCTGTTTTATAAGCAGAAACCTTTGTTCTTAAAATCAACCAGAAGGATGATGAGTTACAAGAATCACAATTAAAAACATGTAAAAGAGGCTCTTACTTCCCTTTGTAAAGTAACAAAACCAAGTGTTGCAGCAACACAGCCACAGTATTTACCTTTAGTCATTTTTACTACTGTTAGGTTTACAAACTGAAGCCATCTTTTCTAAAATACCTTGTTTTATATAATGTAGAAAAGGGTTGTTCAAAAATGGAAGTTTGAATAATGTAGCAGGACCCACTTGGATTTCTTCCCTTTACTTTAGTCACGTTTCCGGCTCTAATCAGGTTCACAGCAACAGTACAGACAGCCTATAGCCTAAGCCCGAACTAGAAAAACCAACAATCCCTTTCAACAGCCCAGCTGTCCAAAGCTAATCTAACAGAGAGACTGCAAAACTAAACTTCTACCCATATCATGATTCAACCTTATAACATCTTCAGGCTCTTCCTGGTTACACCGGGTGGTAACTTTAAGTCAGACATCAGAACATAACCAGAGCATACTACAGCCAGAACACATTGATAACACACCAACATTCTCTGCTTTAAACTTAAGGCTCAGAAAGTATAAAAATGCAATACAGCATCTAACGTTCAGTTAATCAGTTACAAATTTTCCTTCAGTGTTGAAAGACAAACATTCCCTGAAAGAATGCTAATCTCTCAAGATTTTTTTCCTTTCTGCTGCCTTTAATTTAACTTGTGATTTGTATTTTTTGTTGTATATAGAATTTTTTGTTTTTTTTTAATGAAATTAATAAACTTTATCACATATGTCTGGTTTCTACTGCATGTATAGAAAGCAAATGAGTGCAAGTGTAACATGGCAAAAAGTATGGAATCACCAGTCTTGGATGAGCACTCACTCAGACATTTCATTCTGTAAAACAAACTCAGATCAAAAACATGATACAATAATAAGGTCACTCCAAAGGTCAACTTGTTGGCTTTCAGGAACACTCAAAGAAATGAAGAGAAAACATTGTGGAAGTCAGTGAATGTTACTTTTATTGAGCAAGTACAGGGAAAAAAATATGGAATCACTCAATTCTGAGGAAAAAAGTATGGAATCACTCCTCTTCAGTCTGAGTTTCAGACAAAATTCAGGCTTTTAAGCCCTGCCTCCATGTGACTGATACTCACATCACATGGCTATCG